CATAAGTTTCTACTTGGGTTGTCTGCAAAAAAACCAATTTTTTTTATGAAGAAGGTCCGAAGTAATCTATTTGTTAATTAACATTGTTTGCAACAATTTAAATAAATTGTATTATGCTTTATTAATTGTCCGGTGGTCATACTAGACTAATTTAAATTGATTTCGATCATGTGTAATGGAAAAATAAAAAAATTAACATGATTTTTTCTAAAAATATTGTAATTTGTCAAATTTTTGAGTAACAAGAAAAAAATAAACAATTAAAAATTCAAAAATCAACTTTGATGGATCTCTTAGTAATTTTAAATCAAGAACATCAACATCCGATAAAATTTGTAGTTTCTAGACAATTTTCAATAGTAAGTTGAAAAAAAATCCCACTGTTCATCGCGCTGGAGTGCGCGAGCGGACGGACAAATTTTACTTATTACACTATATCTTTGGCAAATTGTTTCGGCCCATTTTCAGACTTATATCTTCTTTTAGGGGAATTCCCAAGCTTTCATTTGAGATTATTAAAAAGAAAATAAATACTACCAAACTTGCACAAAATTGCAAAAAACTATTTATTTTAAAAATTTTTGCAAAAAAATTTTTTTTTTATTATATAAATAAAATATTTTAAAAGTACACAAAAAAACCTTTCTAAAACACTACTTACTTTTTTTAATTGAATAATTTAAGTAGAAACTACAAATGTTTAAAGAATGCATGTTCGAGTTTAGGCTGAAATTTCAACCCCCTACCCTTTTGATTGGGGTTGGACCTGTAAATTGGTGTAGTAACTTGTACCTACTAGGGTAACATATTTCCAAAGTATAGGAAATCCAAGAACTTTTTTTTATTTTTGGGGCAGTTCAGGAATAATGCCTCATATTCCGGTTCAGTAATTTTTTAGACATGTTTATGTATAAGGAACATGCCAAAAATAAAATATTTTTTAATCCATTGATAAATATTGTAATGATATGATTTTTATTTGCTACGGAATTCGCTCGCCGGTTGAAGTCCGGGTACTTATCGTAGTTTTTTTGACTAATAATTAGTAAATATTAGGTTGAGCATTACCTAATTATGATTTCTGCTGTAAATTCGAGGAGAGATGTAGTCAGTAAAGAGTTCAAATTTAAACCTTCGAAAGTAAATATATTGTAAATTAAAAGAAAATACTTAACAAACAATAAAAATAAGAAATATAAGAAAACAATAAGTATAAATATAAAAATAGTGAAACATAAAATAGTATGAAAAGTAACTTAATATTTGTTTCTCGCCGAAAGAAATACTTTAGTTGACATTCGAAATTCACTTAAACAAATAATACTAATTCTTATAATTATCGGTTCTCGCAGAGTTAAGTAGATACTTTGTTCGCATTAGATTTTAGTTACAAGTAATACGCATTTCAGTTTGTATTTCCGATGCAGGGACTTAATTCATATTCTCGAGACAGTTCTAGAATAGGTTTCCACGTTACGCGAGTCCGACGATGCCTATGGCGCGCGCACACTTCTAAAAATTAACCAAGTAGCACATAAGGATTAATTCAAATTCCGGATGCTGCCGAAATCCTTGCCGTATGTGGTAACGAGTGAATATGAATTACGAGGAAAGGAAATTAATTAAACTAGACGTACTTGTCAACTTTCCACGAGAGCACTCCTGGTCAGTTGCATTGTACCTGGTAAAAGAAAGTTCGTTCGACCTAAGCGTGGTATATCGGTTCGCTTTGCCGCGATGGGAAACGGAGGCAGGCGACGCAAGTTTCGTGCGCGATCGCTACTCTCTCGTAGCTCTTACGCTAAACGTGACTACGATGGCTGTGTGTGTGACGTATTCTATTTCTCTATATATTAATACATAGCCCATCGTTACAATATGTAATAGAAATGTATAATGTATGTAAATTGTAAAAGTGATTCTAAATTCTTTAATGTATTTAATATTCCTGATATATTAAAACAAAATTTATGCTTATGCAGCTTGAGACCACGTATGTGTCGCAATGTTTACAAGTGAAACAATTTTTAATAATTTTGGCACATATCACATAAATATCACAAAAAAATTAATAAAGAACATAAAACATAGTTTCAAACCAATTTATTGTCAATTTATATCTATAAAAATGGTAAACTGACATTAAAAATATAAAAAAAAGCAGTCCACTTATGGTTATAAACAATGGTCTACTCATGGTGACACGCAACTTTTTATACCAGCCACTTGCTTAAATCCACTTGGATAAAAGGAAAAATTGTAAATTGGTTAAATATTGGATAAGAGACAAAATGGGAAATTAGTTACATTGGATAAATGACAAAATTGGACATTGATTATATTTGATAGAAGGAAAAATTTGAAAGTTTTGAATTGGGAGAGAATTGTAAATTTGTTGTTATTTTCTATAAGAGGCAAAATTTGGTAACATTGGATAAAAAAAATTATAAAATTTATAATTAAATGTATAAAACTTGATGTTAAAATTCTAATGTAATATTACTATTTTTAAAATTATAATTCCTTGATCATATAAGTAAATATTATGAAATAAAGGAACAATGTCTAACAAAGGAGAAACTGTTAATTCGACTACTCATGATTTAAGCATTGTTGTCACTGAAGGAGCAATGCTAAATAATGATCATATGTATAAATTTCAAAAGCTATTGGGAAGACAATCAAATTTTTTTTATAATATGCAAAATACTTTGTGTTTACAAACAATTGATTTGATAGTTCCAATCGAGAAAAGTAAGCAGCACATTCAAATACTTTTTAGTGGATCTTATGAATCTGGTCATTGGATTTGTACTTATTATGATGGAATAAGCCTTTACATTTTTGATAGTCTTAATAAAAAAAGTCTAAATCATGATCAAAGATATTATTTAATTAGATTATATCCTTTTGAACCACCAGTAGTTTTCACAACTGTTGATCAACAACCAGAATACAGTCTTTCTTATGGAGTATATGCAATAGCATTTGCAACATCGTTGTTTTTTAATATTCTGCCCCACTCTGTCAATTACTATTATTGTAATATTAGAAATCATTTAATGTTAATGTTCAAAAACAATAGTTTATGTAAATTTCCCTCTGTACAACTTTCTAATAATAGATCTTGCATAGTTGTGTATGACTGAAATTGCCTTTTAAATGAAAAAGATATTCAACTTCAGTATGGAGAATCAAACTTTTCTAAAAACTCTATTAAGAAAGAAATTTCTTTTTCGAGAATAATAAATGAAGGAAATATTGCATCAACAACACTTCAACAAAGTAGGGCTGAAATTCAAAAAAGTTATCGTGAGAGGCAACAATTAAAACGTACAATTGATAACGTAAATTATTAAGTGAAAAAAAAATTCAACTAAGAAAAAACTTCAAGTCGAATCCAAAATAGAATATGCTAAGAAACTTAAATTAAAAAATAAAAATAGTGATACAAGTTCTTTGTCAAAAATAAAGAATACTTGATGTCAAAGAAATTATTGTGAAGGAGTATTAAAGCATCAAATTCAAAATGAGTTGAATGTTGAAAATTATCTAGGTTTTAATGACTGCTGTAGTCATGGAGGTGTTGTGTTAACTTTAATACAATATCCAGATGAATTAAGGCTTTTGTTAGAAGGGTTTCGTAAAAAATCAGGTCATTTTAAAAAGAATATAAGGCTGTATAATAATTATTTTTTTTGCATCTTTAAATGCTAATGTAATTAATTTTAATGGCAGAAAAATTAGATTATTCTGTTCCAAAATTCAAGGTGAAATTTACTATCAAGTTAATAGTGCTTTATATCCGGATAAAAGTGAGGATCCATGTTTTGGTCAATTATGTATTTATGACCCAGAGGAATCAATCAGATACAGATTAAAAAGTAACGAAAATTTTGATGAAGACGGTTTACAATCTATAGAAAATATTATGAGAAATTCTAATGCATTCACAAAATCTCACATGATGATGTCAGAGGTAATTCAAATAGAAGCTGAATTAGGAAGACAAATAATGAAGAAATTTCTAAGTTACAATTATTATTCACGTTGAAAAAGGCTTTGATAAAAATAGATACAATTATCAAAGTTTTAATGAAGTTGCTTCAATTTTTAATACAAACTTTAAAGGAGAAATACCAGAATGGGAAATATTCAAAAAAATTTCTAAAAAGTTACATAGAAGAAACTACATTTGAAGAAAATTGCTAAATTTTGAAAATTCGTAAAGTAAAAGTATAGTGAAGAATGTATTCATTTAATCCACATCAGTTGGAGTTATTTCATCTTATATTATTGTTGCTAACAGTAAAAGGAGCAACTTATTTTGAAAGTATGAGAACAGTTAATGGAGTTGTTCATGAATCTTTTACAACTGCTTGTTTGGCATTAGGACTTGTAGAAGATGATAGTGAGTGGATTAGGGCAATCGAAGAAGCTGCATTATGAATGATGCCTCATTCACTTCGCCAATTATTCACAAGAATTTAAATTCAATGTCATCCTGTACATCCGGATAAAATATATATGAGAAAAATTTAAGGGTCAAATGTCAGAAGATTATTAAAAAATAAACGACATTGAAGCTGAACAAAGTGCTTGTAGAAAAATTAACCCTTTGAGTCATACATTTTTCATTTCATTGAAATCTATTGAAACTGGTTACTCGGGGGTTTTTGGGGTCGCTGAATACGAATCTGGCATCAGATTTTCAAAATTCAAAATGTCGGATCCAATATGGCGGACGCGAAAATAAAAAATGAACAGAATTTGCTTGGAACCCGTTACTCGGGGGTTTTTGGGGTCGCTGAATACGAATCTGGCATCAGATTTTCAAAATTAAAGATGGCGGATCTAATATGGCGGAAGCGAAAATAAGAAATGAACAGAATTTGCTTGGAACTCGTTACTCGGGGGTTTTTGGGGTCGCTGAATACGAATCTGGCATCAGATTTTCAAAATTCAAAATGGCGGATCCAATATGGTGGACAAACAAACAAATGACAAACGACAGACTTACACGAACGATTCTCTCCACAGGTAAGTACCGACTTTAATCAAACAAATGACAATCGACACAATTAACACAAACGATTTCCTCCACAGGTGAGTATCGGCTACAATCGGACAAATAACAATCAACAGACTTACACGAACGATTATCTCCACAGGTAAGTACCAACTTCAAAGAAACAAATGACAAACGACAGACTTACACGAACGATTCTCTCCACAGGTAAGTACCGACTTTAATCAAACAAATAAAAATCGACACAATTAACACAAACGATTTCCTCCACAGGTGAGTATCGGCTACAATCGGACAAATCACAATCAACAGACTTACACGAACGATTATCTCCAAAGGTAAGTACCGACTTCAAAGAAACAAATGACAAACGACAGACTAACACGAACGATTCCCTCCAAAGGTAAGTATCAACTTCATTCAAACAAACGACATTCGAGAAACTATTACTAACGATTCTCTCAACAGGTTAATATAGCTTTTACGTTAAAAAAAGGTATTTTGTTTAGTAAAAGCAGTATTATTGTTTGTGTTTTTTTACATCACATCCTGCATTAAGTTTGACATTTTCAGTTACTCATCGGTTAGCAATTCTTTACTAATGTCTACAGTTTGTTCAATCGGATTGCCAAAAATGGTACATTATATTCAGTATCAAAAAATTAATTCTTTTTTTTTATAGACAGAAATACTATGAAGAGGATTTTACGTTAAACGAGTTACCTGACTGTGGATTGTCAGGATTCATTCACTTTTGATTTTACTCTTTAATTTTATCCGAACGTTTTGAATCTTCTAAGTTTATTAATAAATTTATTAATACTCATGCCAGATTCGTATTCAGCGACCCCAAAAACCCCGAAAAAAACGAGTTCTAAGCAAATTCTGTACATTTTTTATTTTCGCGTCCGCCATATCGGATCCGCCATTTTCAATTTTGAAACCCTGAGTAACCAGTTTCAAGCAAATTCAGTTCATTTTTAATTTTCGCGTCCGCCATATTGGATCCGCCATTTTGAATATTAAAAATCTGATGCTAGATTCGTATTCAGCGACACCAAAAACCCCCGAGTAACGAATTTTATGAAAATAGGTTTAAAATTTCATTTGAAATACTTTTATTTAATAAAATATTACAAAAAATTGTTATTTATTATTAAAAATTTCAAAAAAAAATTTCAAAAAAATAATTGTAAATATAGTTTAGGATCTAATTTGTAAAGAAAAAAAATTATCATCTCAAAAATTAGTAAGGATAAGTAGAAATTGATTTTTTTCTGAAAAAGAAGCATTTTTTTTTGTTATTTATTTGTTTATAATATTTTTATTATTAACAAATTGTGAATCAACAGTTTTATTAGACTTGTTTAGGTATGAGGTACATGCCCGAAAAAAACCCTAAATTTATTAATAAATATGCCATAGAAATACTGAAAACTGAGAAGAAAAAGGTGGGTCGCTGAGCGACCCACTGTGACGCAAAGGGTTAAAACAATGTTATTTAAGGAAGGATATAATTTAACTGAATTTCAGGGGTTATTAGATATACAAGATGAAATTTTTACTGAACAAGTTAATGATATAAATATTGCAGAACATATTAACATAGGAGAACAGAATTATGCTAAATTAAATGTAAAACAAAAACTTGTAGTTGATTATGTACTTGATGTCCTAAAGGATTCTTCTTTTGATGGTTCTATGGCAATTGTTAAGAAGTAAAGGAATAAATGATTGCAACATGGCATTTACAGGTATAGCTGCGACTCTGCTTCCTAATGGAAAAACTGTTCATAAAGTTTTAGGCTTACCCGTTCCATTATACAGTGATTCATCTTCAAACATTAAAGTTCAATCTTTAGAAGGCCTCTTTTTTAAAAAATTTTGATGTTTTTATTTGGGATGAAGCACCAATGGCTCCAAAATATGCTTTAGAAATTATGGATTATCTATTCCAACAAACCTTTTGGTGGTAAAATTGTAATTCTAGGCAGAGATTTTCGACAAACTTTACCAATTAAAGAACGGGGTACTAAATCAGAAATAGTAAATTTATCAATTAAAAAAAGTAATCTATAGAAATATTTCAAAAAATACACATTAACAGATAATATGAGAGCTTTACTACAAGAAACGGAATTTATAGATTTTTTACTTAAAGTTGTCAATAGTGAATTAAATGATGCAGATGATAATGTTATATTACCAAAACATATTATTCAAAAAGCGAATAGGTACACAAAATTTAAAATAAAATTTAATCCTTTAAAGATAAAATGTTTTTAATAACTATGTGTGTATCTTTAGAGTGATATTAGAAACTTTTCGGTGTAAAAACATTTCCATTTTTAATAGCAGAAAGAAAAGGGGCGTGCGTAGCGCGCAAAAATAGTGACTAGTATATATAATAATCTTATATTTTTGAACATATTCCCTTCTATTCAAACATTCATATATTCCTCGGCATATTCCATTATAATCAAACATATTCTTTGATATTCTCTTTGATATTCACGTTTATTCAAACATATTCTTACATTTGTCTAAATATTCTGAGTATTCCATATTCCCAAATATTCTAAAGTATTCCTTGTTGGGAATATATTCTTCGTACGCCCTCAATGAGAGTTGTTCACCCCTCATGCACCACTTATTTTTAGTCGAGGACAAAATTAGATATTTCTTAAAAAAATTTTCCAATTCTTTTTTAAAAAAATTGATTTTTTGCTAACCAATGTTCTCGTCTTCTGACCAAATATGCTTTTTCTACTTTATTGTACTTCCTGAAGCATAAGAAAAAATAGTCCACCACTTATTTTTAGTCAAGATCAAAAATAGAAAATTTTTTCCAATTTAAAAAAAAAATTAATTTTTTGCTAACCAGTGTTTTTGTCTTCTGACCAAATATGCTTTTTCTAGTTTCTTGTACAAAAAAAATTAGACAAGTGCGAGTTGAACTCGCACTGCAATGGTGCGTTCCGTACACGTGAAAGGGCCGTAACCCTTTAAAATGAATTGATTTCTCTCTTAAGAAAGGGAGGAGTTAATTTACGAAAATGGGCCTTAAACGATCTGACATTACTAAACGACATTCCAATAAACGAGGTTGACACAAATATGTGAAATATGAATGAAATATATATTTCATTAGATCCTTCTGATTGCGAAAAATTAAAGACACTCGGTGTACGTTGGAATGCAAACTCAGATGCTCTCTTTTATACCGTCAATTTATCGAAATCGGTCGGCCCAATGACGAAAAGACTTATTCTATCAGAAATTGCGAAACTTTTTGACCCTCTAGGTTTACTAAGTCCTGTAATAATTATCGCAAAAATTCTCATTTAAGAACTTTGGAAAACAAAAATCACTTGGGACGAACCGGTCCCAACAGAACTAGGAAACGCTTGGGTCGAACACAAAAATAATCTTCCGCTATTAAATAAAATTAAATTTAAAAGATGCATCGTGGTCCCAAACGCTGTAGAAATTAAACTGCACGGATTTTCAGATGCGAGCGAAAAGGCCTACGGAGCCTGTCTTTATCTTAGATCTCTTGACAAAGATGGAAAATTTCATTGCGCTCTTATAACAGCAAAATCTCGCGTTGCCCCGTTAAAATTAACCACGTTGCCGCGGCTCGAATTGTGCGCTGCAGTTTTATTAGCACAAATTTATACAGCCACAATTAAAGCTCTGCAATTGCAGAATTTGAAAACATATCTTTGGTCTGATTCAACAATTGTTCTTGGTTGGATAAAATCGTCACCGCATTTGTTAAAAACATTTGTCGGAAATCGAATAGCCGAAATTCAAGAAAAAACTAACTTATGCGAATGGTGACATGTGCCAACTAAGGACAATCCAGCTGATTTGATTTTCCCCGGTCAGTGTCCCCAAGAATTTATTAATAATGAATTCTGGACTCAAGGTCCAGAATGGCTGGTTAAACATGAAAACACGTGGCCACAGTTAACACATAAAAAATGCGAACTTCCCGAAACACGTGAACAAATTTCACTCATTACACTAAAACTGACACTGTCTGATAAAAATATTTTAGACAAATTCGAACGGTTTTCTGATCTTCAACATGTAATTGGCTATTGTTTGAGATTCATTAACAATCTTAAATCTACCAATGCCAAGACTCGAAAGTTTGGCTCACTCTCTCGAGATGAAATTAGAGTTGCCACACAAATTATAATTAAGTTAACACAAGCCGAGACATTTCCGCACGAAGTCAAGGCTCTGACAGAAAATAAAGATGTGAATCCAAAGAGTTCTCTGTATCGATTAAATCCGTTCTTAGATGAGGGAATTCTCAAAGTAGGAGGTAGGCTTGCACTTTCAAATTTGTCAAATGCACAAAAACATCCTACTGTACTTCCGAAATCACATAACGTCACAACAATGATCATTCGAAGTGAACACAAAAGGTTATTTCACGCCGGTCCTCAAGCGACTCTCAAGGAGGTTAGACAACAGTATTGGCCCATTGACGGTCGTAATAAAACTCGACATATTATTCGAAAATGTGTAACTTGTTTTAAGGCAAAGCCTCGTGAAACGAACTATTTAATGGAAAATCTGCCTGAAAATCGAGTTTCTTTTACTAAACCATTTGAAAATGTAGGCGTGGATTATTGTGGACCGTTCTTCGTTAAAGAACATCGTTATCGAAATCGAACAAAGGTAAAGACTTATGTTTCAATATTTGTATGCTTAGCTACTAAAGCCGTCCATCTGGAACTAGCGAGCGATTTAACGTCAGACGCGTTTATAGCTTGTATGTCTCGTTTCTTTGCTCGTCGAGGTTTAGCTTCTTCTATGATGTCAGATAATGCAAAAAATTTCATAGGGACAAACAACGAAATGCGTGAATTGTATAAACAAGTAAAAACTTTCGAGACGAGTAAAGAAATTCAGGATTTTTTATTAACAAAAAAGGTTACTTGGCATTTTATTCCACCTAGAACTCCTCACTTCGGAGGTCTTTGGGAGGCAGCTGTGAAATCATTTAAATTTCACTTCACAAGAATAGCAGGTAATTCATTATTGACTTATGAACAATTACATACTTATGTAACAGAAATCGAGGCGATCCTCAATTCACGTCCTCTTACTCCTCTTTCCAATGATCCAAATGATTTATTGCCGTTGACTCCCGGTCATTTCCTAGTTGGTAAATCCATGACGAGCTTCCCTACAGGAGATCTCCGGAACATACCTGCCAATCGATTGAATTGTTGGCAACATGCACAACAAATGCGAAGACACTTCTGGGATCGGTGGCATAAAGAGTACATCAACGAGCTGACATCGAGAAGCAAGTGGCAATCACAAGTCGATCAAAGTAAAATTAAGATCGGTACACTAGTGATTGTAAAGGAAGACAATCTACCCCCCATGATGTGGAAATTAGGTCGCATTATTGCTACCCATCCGGGACAAGATGGAATCGTGCGAGCGATAACCCTGCGAAGTGCAACTGGCACTTACAAACGATCTCTAAAACACGTTTGTCCTTTACCAATCGACGATTAATTTCTCTATATTTGCAAAACAATCTTGTATAAACATTATATCATAGATTATCCATACAATATAAAATAATAACATTTGAGAAAAATTATGACACCATTTAAAATGTATTATGTGTTATCAAAGTTAATTCGTCGATATTAGTTTCAGTTAATTTAATATATCATGTCAATTATAAAATACACATATTAATCAAAAATTATAAATGTAAATTCTAACATTATAAAATTATTAAACACAAGAAAATACTAAAACTTTGAACTTGATAGTTCAAGGAGGCCGGCATGTTCCGTCGGAACAAATCATTAAAAGATTCGTAAATTATATTTATTATTTATCGTGCTGTTTCTTGAAGCAAATATAAATTAAGATTAAAATCGAATTTTTTCCCAGAAATATCGTAAAGAGTAATAAAATAGAAAGTGAAAATTTCTGTTTGCTAAAGCGGATCTGAATTGTAAAATGTTTGAAGATTCATAAAACATACAAAAATAAATATTACAATTGTTAAACTAAGCAGTCGAGTGCTATTGTGAAGCACGTTTCTAGATATAATCTTCGTACTTGCAACCAGATTTTTTATGACTTTCTTCCAAAAACCCAAACCGACCATCGGAGGTACTGTTTAAGGGAACCGACAACCCCTTCTTTCTCGCAAAAAGGGGACGATCGGTTAAGCGCTCATCGGCACTTTACTCAAGTACCTGGGTACATCCGGCAGATTAAAACGAGAAACTGACCTAGACACATCGTTTTCAGTTTTCTCAAGAATAAAATTTGTAAATCCCCAAAATTAATATTGTAGGCTTTCTATTTGAAATCTAATTCTTTTTGTTTAAATAAATTTAATTCATTGTTATTCAGTGTTTTATTTATAAATTGAACAATTCGTTCGTGCTAACAAAATTTACATCATCACAAAACAACTTTTTTTTGCCAATCGAACAAAACAATTTTTTTTCGAATAGTAGGTGTTTTTTGAGTAACAAAATCATAGTTTTAATTTTTTTCCCTCGTGCAGTTTTTCTGTAGCTTCAAATTTTGCATTTTTGAGGTGCGACGCCACTTAAACTTACCTGTAGGAAAATTAGCTTGTCAAAATATAATAAATGAGGTATCATTGGAAAGGTTATTAAATTACCTTTCCATCCATAGGTCACAGAATAAAATTCAACAAAAATTGAGAGAGTTACAGTCGATTAAAGATGAAATTTCATGACAATTTTGATGATTTTTAGACATTTGAGTAACTTCTACTATTTTTTTCTACATCAAACAGGAAAGAATGTTTAGGTTTTAATTTTTTTATTGATAGACTATATCATTACACAAATTTTGAGCCCTTGTGGACCTCGATTGGATTTAAAATGACAATTCTACACTAAATTTAGTGAACAAAACTATATTCTTCATTTTTAGTATCCCTTAAACATTTGCAGCAAAAATTGAAGTAATAAAATTTAGTTAAGCTCTAAAGTTACTAAAATCACTAATAAAGGATTTCTGAAATCGTAGATTTCGAATCCAATGTTAGTTTTCTAAATTTCAAAATGGCGGATCCAATATGGCGGACAAGTTTTTAAAAATCGATTAAATTCGTCTTAAATTCGTTACTCGGGGGTTTTCGGGGTCGCTGATTACGAATCTGATGTCGGATTTCGAAAATTGAAAAGGATGGATTCATAATGGTGAACGAGTTTTTTAAAATCCATCGAATTCGCACCTATTGGATCCGCCATTTTTAATTTTTGAAATCTGACATCAGATTCGTAATCAGCGACCCTGAAAACCCCCGAGTAACGAATTTAAGACGAATTTAATCGATTTTTAAAAACTTGTCCGCCATATTGGATCCGCCATTTTGAAATTTAGAAAACTAACATTGGATTCGAAATCTACGATTTCAGAAATCCTTTATTAGTGATTTTAGTAACTTTAGAGCTTAACTAAATTTTATTACTTCAATTTTTGCTGCAAATGTTTAAGGGATACTAAAAATGAAGAATGTAGTTTCGTTCACTAAATTTAGTGTAGAATTGTCATTTTTAATCCAATCGAGGTCCACAAGGGCTCAAAATTTGTGTAATGATATAGTCTATCAATAAAAAAATTAAAACCTAAACATTCTTTCCTGTTTGATGTAGAAAAAAATAGTAGAAGTTACTCAAATGTCTAAAAATCATCAAAATTGTCATGAAATTTCATCTTTAATCGACTGTAACTCTCTCAATTTTTGTTGAATTTTATTCTGTGACCTATGGATCGAAAGGTAATTTAATAACCTTTCCAATGATACCTCATTTATTATATTTTGACAGGCTTATTTTCCTACAGGTAAGTTTAAGTGGCGTCGCACCTCGAAAATGCAAGATTTGAAGCTACAGAAAAACTGCACGAGGGAAAAAATTAAAACTATGATTTTCTTACTCAAAAAACACCTACTATTCGAAAAAAAATTGTTTTGTTCGATTGACAATTTCACTGTCAACCAGTGTTATTTTTAGTCATGGAAAAAAATAGAAATTTTTTTCACTAAAAATTGATTTTCTGCTAACCAATGTTCTCGTCTTCTTACCAAATATGCTTTTCTACTTTATTCTGCTGTCCGAAGCATATGAATAAATAGTGAAGCACTTATTTTCATTCAAGGAAATAAATAAAAAAATTTTTTTTTAATTTTTTCAAATTTTTTTCAGAAATAATTGATTTTTAGCTAACCCTCTGTAAAAGGAATCCTGGTAAAAATTTCGGACTAATTCCGGATTAAATACGGACAGATAAGTACGGATTAGTCCGAAAATTGTACGAAAAATTTCCGAAAATGATCCGCGTTAGTCTGATATCAATCCGAAAACACTCCGGAGTAATCCTGAATGTCTACGAATTTAGTCCGTAATTAGTCAACAATAATTCGAAATTATGACCGGTAAACAATTCTGAGATAAGTACGGAATTATCGAAAATCAATATGTAAAGAATACGAAATCAGTTCGCAACAATCCTAATTTAATCTAGTTAAGAAATACTTAATTCGAAAAATGTCCGGAGCAATCCGAAAACTGTATGCTACCCAGTAAAAAAAAGTATTGGAAGAGAGCGAATAGTATTGGCGGTGAGTTTCTGCCAATACAGAATGACAAAAACTTGACCATAACCAGATTAATTCCAGACTTAATCGGACTAATTTCACATTTGCAAGATGCATATTATGAGACTAACTTTGGACTATAGTTCGGACTAATTCCGGATTCACTGGTTATACACAAACTCTGTTGAGTTTAGATTTATCCGGACTACTTCAGAATGACAAAAACCTAATCATAAGCAGACTGTTTCTGATTAGCTGCGGATTCACTGGTTAAACCAACCGGATTACTTCTGCATTTACTAGTTGCATATGATCTGACTAACTTCGGACTAAACCAGAGTAATTACGGATTCAATAGTTGTTAAAAAAATTTATTGATTTTAAACTTAATTCAGGGAAAAAAAAACTCCACAATAAACCGTACTGTTGCGGACAAATTCCGGATTAGTCTAAAATCAACCTGGCTTTTTATTCAAGTTATTTACTTATGGTGAATAAAATATTTAATTCTGCAGTCAATTTGTTTTTACAAATTTACTAGTATTATTAGTTATATTGTTTCAATATTAAAATTGACACTGATGTGTTAGTTTCTTGTCATTTCTTTTCGTGGCACTTCATAAATTCTATTATGAATTTGAACTCCCATGCGAGCGTGGTATAGTGGTTAGTGTATTCGATTTCGGTGCGTTATAGTGTTAGATAGGTGTAAGTTCGTATCCCCAAGCGTTAGAAATTTTAAGTTAATTTAAATAAAATTGCGATAGGTATATTGAAAAATATTTTAAATGTACCATAAAGTTATAATAATTAATATTTGTAACTTGTATAATAATATTTTTATTAACGTTCACTAAATTGAACGGACTAATTCCAGATGACAAAAACCTGACAATAAATGGCACTGTTTTGGATAAATTCCGGATTCACTAGTTAAAATTAACTGATTAATTTCGGACTGCATGGGACCAACTCCGCATTTACTAGTTGTTCACAAACCGTATAGAGTTCGGATTTATCCGGATTAATATCGGGTGACAAAAACCTGACCATAAACCGCACTGTTTCGGACGAATTTCGAATTAGTCTGAAACTAATTCAGCTCTAGTATATATATTTTTTCCAATCTGAAATTCTTTTTTAAAAACTTTTTTAGGGCTAAAAAAGTTACAAAATCCCTTAATTATTATTTTATTTATTATTTAGGTTGGATTTTCCTAACTTTAAATCCCTTATTTAAACGAACTATTTTAGTTAAAACAACACTAGTTTTTCTCAAATTTTGACAAGCATTATAAAGAATAATAAAATTTCTAACATTCCAAAATCATTTCTTTTAGTGTACCTGTGTTTAAAAATAGTATGTTTAACTCTTACAAAATCAATCATTCTTCTCCCTAGATGCACAATATTTTATTTCATTTTAAAAATTTTAGTTCTTCCAAAAATGGTAAAGTATTCATGTTTATTGACATTAAGTAATCACATTCAGAAAATCGATCCAAATAAAATTTTATAAAAAATAAAGCAGAATTTGGTTAGGAATGTTGATGATCTACATAATAATATTATTTGATAAGTACACCAAAGGAAAGACAAAGTAAATACTCGCTAAATAAAATAGTAAATTTTAGAATGACTAATTTGAACAGTAAAGTATGCCAGAATGCGGTTATGTTGAAGTAACTCCGAAAGAAGTAAATTAACTCCCTTTTAATATTGTTAGTTGAAATCTTTTCCAAATAATAATTGTATATTGTGAAATTTTAGTAAATTAAATGTACGTCATTACAATCGGCTGACTAGAAATTAAAAAATTTGGGATTCGGTACAGCAAAAATTGTCTTCTATCTTCAGTGTAAAGAAATTTTATGCGTCCAATCAGATCCCAGTTAACGGAAACTAATTGAAATGA